TCTTTCACCAAAGCAAATACAGTTTACCAGGGACTATACTCATAAAGAACGCTGTCTTTCTTTCCCCTGTAGCTAACAATTGTCTTGGGAGGAAGAGATGTGATATGAATGCCCCACTTAATGCTGAGCATTTTGCAGTCTCCTCTCTGTTCCTTGGCTATCTGTGGGTCCCTGTGTTAATCACCATTTACTACCAATAGAAGCTCCTCAATGACGTTTGATGGAGGCATTGACACATGGGTACAATAAGTCATTAGGAGTTGTTTTGGTGCTATGTCCATTTAGCAATGCAACAGTAGTAAGTTAAAAAAAAAATTGTAGTAAGTTCTCCGCTTGGGCCTATGACATGTCTTTTCCAATCACAGTGCCAAGTATGGGTTTCAGCTTGTGGAGCGGGACTTAAAACCCATCAGAAAGCTCACACACATGCACAGAAAGTTAAAATGGAGTCACCCTACAACAGGGCAACAACCTTACTAACCACCAGAGACTAACAAACAGAAGTGAAGTCCATGGAACGGGTTAAGCAGGTATTTACATTTTGTGGCCTACGAATTATATCTCAACGAAGTCAACTAGTTAGAGGAGTCTCGCGAGGCCCCGCCTGAGACAGCGTGATAACAAAGTTCCCTCCCCCTCAGCCTGCGTGGAAAGCTCCAGGGAGCGACCCTGAATGCTGCTCATCGTTTTTTTCTTCCTTCAGTTCTTTCTGTCTGTGAAAAGCCCATCCCCATTCAGAGGGGATGCTGCCCGATTCCTGAATTACTAATACCAACCAACTCAACCTTGAAATTCAACTGCCAAGGTTGTTTCTAGACAGAAAGAAACTCAGTGGGGCTTCACATTGGGAAAGAGCACTGGTACCTTTCTTACTTCCCTTTCAATAGACGGCAAAACCTATCAGTTTTATTGATATAAACCTCATTATATGTACATAGTATCAAACTACCATCTAAATATGTATCTCTGTTCCCATAGATGATTGTATCTCTTAATCCTTATCACGGGAGTGCCATTGTGCGGTGGATGGAGGCTAATACAGAACCTTACCATTGGTTAAAGTGCAAAGAGCAAGTCTCTGTGGAGTGCTAAGCCTTAAAGGTGACATCTACAATACAGCCCCACCATTTCAGCATGGATAGGGAGGGGTACACAGGCCCATTCTGGAACAGAGCCCTTGGGACAGTGCCATCCAAATTAAGGGTGGGTCTTCCCATATTCTGGGAAAATTCTTCATGTGTCCATAGATACGTCTCCTATTTGATTATCAGTCCCATCAAATTGGTGGATTCATAATCCCACCAAGATTAAACATCACAGAACATACGCAACCAAATCATCACATCAAAATCCTTGTAAATGTATGTGCATAAGAGCAGCAGCCAGAATGCAGAGTTTCTTTCTAAGGTGATAAATGTGTTCAAAATTTGATATGATATTGACTACATTTATTTGGAGATAAACCATCAAGGTTGAACTGAGCACTCAATATAGGTGAATCATATAGCATGTGAATTATATCTCAATAATGTGTCTCTTTTTAGATGGTAGCATAATCCTATGCAAACCAGAAAGGTAAGGAAAGTTTGGCCACAAGCCAAAGCAAAGTCAACCGGGTCAAACCCTTAATTTTTATTTTCTTCACATCACACTGACATGTTAAATCAACAAGATACACCTAGAGTCACTTTGGAGCGATTTGCTATTTCATTTATATGGTAAAGGGAAATATAACCATCCCCACTCCCAACAGGGTAACACGACTTCCATTTCCGTTAGTTTATAATTGTGGATAACCTGAGAAGCTTCCTTAATTAAAATAAAAATTATTCTCAATATTAATTATTTTTATTGTATTTCTCATCTGGTATGAAGTCACTTCACAACCCCAAGGCAAACAAATCTATAAAGCAGAGTTTTGAGTTAGCAGATTTAATAGCCCAAAGTGAAGATGAGCAGAGACGAGGCAAAGTGATGTGATAGTTACAACCACAATCTTGGTGGTTAAATGGGAGAAGTATGTTTCTCACGGGGTTGGGGGGGTGGGGGTTCATGTCTGCAGGAGGGCCCACTCATTCTCATCTGTGAGGAGGCTCCCATCCAGCGTGGGTGGACTGCTGTCAATGACTGTTTAGGCTACACTCCATTCTCTTCAAGTCTAGAGATAATTTAATTTTGACATCGGCCCATTGTGATTTATATTTGGAGTGAACATTCATCAGGCTCTTCCTGTTGACTCCTCATCCCTACCAGCCTACGGTTTTCTTTTTTAAAACCAGAAAGCTTATACTGTATTCCAGTGAAGGAGTTCCCTTCCATGTGTTAAAATCAAGCCAGTTATTATAACACAATGGGATTGACACTCCAGGATAAAGATACAAAGGGAATCATGGCCAGCCCTTACTGTAAGATGTAAAGGGTTTTAAAATAAGTTCCCTTCAACTTGAGGGGAGACTCACAGCAGTGTGAAAAGTGCTTTCTATACTGAGAATTCAGAGAACCCAGTTTAGATAGAAAACAAATGTTTTATGGTGTAAGATCATAGTAATTATCAGCCGATCTCCTTATTAAATCCCATAGTATGAAATTACATCAGTTTCCCCTCTGAAAAATGAAGCAAAATCTAACCCTATAGTCTTGGTCTTTTAGTCTATGGACAGTGAATTCTCTCGCTGTTCCTCGTTGAGTATTTTAGGCAAAGCTCTGTACAGGAACATAACACTCACACACTCACACACACACACATACGTGGTAGATTTATTAGACTGGTTAACACTTCAAGGGCTGAGCCATCTAAACACTGGAGACCCAGAGTACCCAGTAGCTGCTCAATCCATGAAGCTAGACGCCTCCAAAGTTCCAATCTGGTGTGAGAAGTTTGGTTGCTTCCTGAAATGTCACTGGCATTGAATCCATGTTTAAAAGTGGTGCTTAAATCTAATGTCAGTGGGAGCAGCATACACACATGTACAGCCACTCAGTCACATGGTTTAGGGGATTGCATGCAGGACCCTACACATGTTAGATCCTTCTAACGTGTTCCACCATTGAGCTACATCCTAAGGTCTACAATGAGCTTTGAAAAATCACAGGCTTGGTCTTAACAGCAACAACAAATACAATTTCAAGATGGCTAAACAATTTGAACAATCAAATAAAATATAAATACCTTTTATATTTTATATAGCTGTCAGAGAAAAGAGAATTGTCTGATAATATGACATCATGCTATCCCAGTTGGAACAGCTCTTATAAAAAAAAAGTAAAAGACCCCTGCACAGATGTAGCCCGTGGCAGTTCAGTATCCAAGTGGATTCCATTGCAATAGGAACAGGGACTGTCTCTGACATGAACTGATTGGCCTGCTCTTTGATCACCTCCCCCTGAGGGGGAAGCAGCCTTACCAGGCCACAGAAGAAGACAATGCAGCCACTCCTGATGAGACCTAGTTGACTAGGATCAGAAGGAAGTGGACTTGGGGTGGGGCATGGGTGCAGAGGGTGGAGGAAGGGAGGGATTGGGACGGGAGGAGGGAGGGAACCACAGGGGGGTTATAAAGTGAATAAAGTGTAATTAATAAAGAATACAATAATAATAATAATAATAATAAAAGTGAACTCTGAGGAATGTGCAATCATAATCCAATATATAATGCAAACACAATGATGATTACATTAAATAAAACACTGGTTTAACTGGAAAAAAAAAGTAATAATAATGGCAAAAGTGTGGGGGCAAAATTCTCTTGGTGAGAATGTAAATTATAGCCATGGTGAAGAACAGTGTGGATGATCCTGAAAAATTAAAAATAGTTCTACCATGTCATCCAGCTATCCAAAATATGAAGCCAGTCTATCAGAAATCACTACGCATCCATGTTTATCATGGAATTAGTCACAATTAGTAAAGATACAGAATCAGCCTAGGGACTCAACAACAAAGGGATGGATAAGGAAAACATGGGATGTATAACTACAGGGATATGGATGGCACTAATGGACATTATAAGTAAAATAAAGCAAATACAGAAAGATAAGTATCACATGTTTTCATATGTAAAAGCTAAAAAAAAATGACCTTACTATGGAATAGTGCTGAATTGAGGTTTGGAGTGGGAAAGAGAAGGGAGGCTGGCTTTGACTAGTGTGTGCTATATGCAGTGTTGAAATATCATACATAATTGTATTTATGTGTGCAATTGATGCATCTTAATCAGAACAATTAAATGTAGAAGTATATTCTTATGCATTTGACCTGGGATCACCTTTTGTCATACTTAGAATGTAAACTTCTTGCTATCGTGTGAAAATCCCCAGGTGATTTGTATTCTGACGCCTTCCTTAGCACCACTCGGGTCTGCCTTTCTCCTCCTTGCTTCCCAGACGGTGGTCACCTCCTGTTCCCTGTACATAGTATACCTTCATGCATGTTCTTTTCACTGCTGGCTTTTCCCATTCTTCTGATCTTTCCAAACTGCATTTCCTGACCATCTTAACTAACTGGTCACCTCCTGTTCCCTAGAGTCTTTCATTGAACACTATTCTTCCTCTAATCCTCTGTATATTTGTTTATTTGATTCTTGGTTGCTCCCCCAAGACACACTGGCCCACAACACACTCATGGGCGTGCACACACACACCTTGCTGTTGGGCCATAAGTCAAACAAATACAGATACCATGTCTATTTTGTCTCTGGAACCTAGTAGAAGAAATTCAATAAGAATATATTGAATAGAGCAAGCAACTGATTCTGTTGCCTAGTTTTATACCTGTTTTTTCAGAATCTTTTTTCCCCTTCTCTTCAAAGCAATTGAGTGTACACTTACAGTATGACAGTGACTCAGGAACTCCTTATAGATAGAATGAGTTCACGGGGAGAGCGTGTTTTCTGGCGTCCAGCTGCCCTTGTTGGTAAACAGATCCACTCAGCTGTGACAGGGTATGTACAGTCTCAGTTACTAACTAGCAGTGTGACCTAAGCCAAGCTTATGTCTCTTTAGGTATCAGCTTCCATCAGTCGAGTGGAAATAATACTGGACCCTGCTTCATTGTATGACTCAGTCCCCAAGCCTTGCCAGACTCGGAGACCTCCCTGGAACTTTTGCTGCTATTGCCTTCAAGAGGAATTTTTACTTTGTTATCCCCATGTCTGGTGAGTTTGTAGAAGAATCTTAATTTACCATGCTCAAAATGTGAAAAGTGCCGATATTAGCCTACCGGAACTACGCCAACCAGATGTCACAGGCTCAGTAGTTTCAACAAACACACTTACTCCCTACAGTTTTGGAGTAAGTGTAAGCTCAAGAGGAAGGCTAAGCTCAAGAGGAGAGCATGGGTGCTTTCTCTGGAGTCCTTCAATTGTCTTGCAGAAGGTTGCTTGTCTTCTGTGTGGCCTTCTGTGTGCTAACTCCAGCTGTCCCTTTCTCTTCTAATGAGGACACCAGACTGGTACAATGAGGTTCCTAAACTTGCAGGTTTGTGTAAGCTTAGTTCCCTCCTTAGAGGACCTCTCCCAAACACAATCACACTGGGATAAGGATTCACTGTAAGAATATGGTTTCACAATTCAGGTTTAGAATCCATGGGAGAAGAAAAGAGAATGTCAGGCATCATCAGAACCCAAAGGGCATAGGCAGGATAGTCAATTTCAAGTCCAGCCTGGACCACCTAGAGAACATGTCTCTTGTAATGGATGAATGAATAAATGAATGAATGAATGAACAAAACTCCCATTTTTGACTGGGCCCTAAAATGTTGACTTAAGCCCTAAAACAGTAAATTAGCTCCAGTGCTCTACATTTTTTTCTTCAGTAATTTTTTTCTCTAATTCTTTCTTGAATATTTATAAACACATCTACAGTAATACTAATTTCTCATTCATAAATGTGAAAAATAGTATTTGAAGGTATGAAAAAATACTAACAATAGTTTTTCATTATAATCTGAGAAAAATATAAATAATACAAGATTTTGTCCTTAGCATTTTACTGAAATACATTACTGTAAACATATCAATCATTTTACTAACATGAAGGTAGCTTTTGAAAATATGATCAGTACCTTTCTTAAGAACAGTTTTTGAAAGATTCATCTATCCTAGTATCTTGCATCTAATTTTCAAGCATTGACCAAAAAGGCAGAATGCAGTGTAAATCTATGTGCTTACCACTTTGGCTACAAATGTCACACAATAATTCTTAAAGCTTCTACTCCTAAATAGAAACAATATACATTATATATCTACTCATAAATAGAAATAGCAAGAGATTATATCCAAGTAAATTGTAAAACCTTAGATATTAATGAAATATTTAGATATGAAATTTATAATAGGTATGAGAGATGAAGGAGACAAAGTGTCACATGCATGGCTCAAATATGTCTTCTTGTGATACACACCTTTCAAAACAACCCATTTCTGCTACAAGATACTGCCTAGGGAAAAAAAAATATCTAAAATACCATTTGTACCTTTTCTAAAGAGAAGGCCACTGAATCAGATTACTATTTCCTCCTTATTGCAGAAAAGACCTTCTTCTTGGCTTATTCTAAATATAGAACCCTGAGCTCCTCAAGCAAAGAAAACACGATCTGATTCAACTTTCTCTCTCCTGACCCTTCTAGTGAGCCTGGCCCAGAGTCAAAGATCAAGAGATACTTTTAAATGTGATGACCATAAGGACAGGTTTGTGACCTTGACTGGTAATGACAGCAGCGGTTTACTAAAGGTGTCTGATGAGCCTGAAGTGCCCTGGATTTTGAATGTTCTAGAAGGGCAGAGAATGATAGAATGGGGATGCCCTCAATAAACTATGACTAAAGTAGAAAATATGCTTTTAGGAGCACTGTCCCACTACTTGCTGGAACGTCTGAGTTCTTTCTTAAGTATTCCACAGACGAGCTGTGTAACACTGTACCAGGTGCTTAATTTCTCCATCGCGAGTCTCTCAATAGATGAAGTTTAATTAAGCCCATCAAACACTCTGTGAGCTCCAACAGTTCATGCACAAGATAATTTGAAAATGAAGAAATTTCAAGATTCTGCAATTGAAACCTACTTTTCCCAATTAGAGTTCCTAAAATTTTCAGCTCCCATCAGGCTGCTGTATGGCTGGTCCCTTAGCCTCCTTCCCATTTCCTTCTGCTGGGACTTCCTCCCTGCTTTTCTTACCTAATTCTAATTTGTTTTTTAAGTTATATTTATGTTTTATTTTATGTGTATTGTAGTTTTGCCTGCATGTATGTACGATGGTGCCAGATCCCCTGGAACTGAAGTTATAGACAGTTGTGAGTTGCCATGTAGGTGCTGGGAATTGAACCTGGGTCCTCTAGCAGAGCTGCCAGAGCTCCTAAACATTGATCACCTTTCCAGACTCTTATTAATTCTAATTCTTGAACATACCTGTTCATCAGTTGAAGGCCCCAGCTCATAAATATTGGGGTTTGCCTGTAGATATTTTTTCCAAGGACAGAGCAAAAGTGATCCTGCTGGATGTTGTTCCCCTCATTTCTCCCAGCGTGCTTTATGGCACCTCAACCTCTCGTTGCCTTTAACCTTCACACCTTTATTTTACCCACTCCAGCATCCCAAGATCACAGAGAAAATGAAGCAGCTGAAAGTCTGTCCCATAAATCTGTCACTGAGTAGACAGAAGTATCTGGTTCTTACTCCTCTTTATTTTTCACAGCCTGAGCTCAATGTTCCTAAGTGTGCTTAGAAAAAGCCTTCTTAAAATTTCTACTTGTGATCTCCTTTCAGCTGAAATAGATTTTTGTGATTCTAGGCATATAGCTATGTAAAGTAGAAATACAAATTATAAAGGAACTTATTTTAAAATAGTTCTTTGGCTACATATGAATTTAACATTTATTAAAGAGGAAAGTAACTTTGCCTACTAACAAAATGGTTGTACTTATTTTTATATGAAGAATTAAATCTTGCCTGAATATTTGATACTATAAGACACAGATTATCTTCAATATTTTCCACATGTGATCTATATTTTGGTTTTTGTGACCATCTGACATTGCCACTTTTCATAAATAAATAGTACAAAATGGCAGAAGTACAATGAGGGGCATTTCAGAAATTGCTGGAAGTCCTGTTATAATCCCAAGGACAAAATTCCTTCCTTTAATAACTTTTAATTCAAGTCAGCAACTCAGACAGCAACTTTAACACTCAAACATTCTAACATAATACAATCCACTAATACACTAACTTGGTGCTTACGTGGTGAGGGCAGTAGAAAATATTAAACTCTATTTTCAGTAATTTAACTATTATGTTTGAAGAAAAACAGGAAGCTTTGCCCATACAATGAAAACACTACATTCGAAATGGACAGTAGTCTTGAATCTGAGCTGTTTCAGGCAGTGCTGGTTGGTGTGTTCCATAGTGTGGTGTAATGCAAAATACACGTGTTGTGTACTCAGAACCAGTGTTGCAATGAAGTGATACAACACAGGCGATAATTGTCACAAACACCTTGGATTAATTTCAGATTTGATTTTGGAATTCGATTTTGGTCATTGTGAGTTCATAAGCTTTTTCATTTTGTCAAATATTTTTGTAACTTTCACATAACCCAGGTTCAAGAACCTGGGGGGGAGTTAGTGAGAATATGTTCTAAGACAAGGCAACACCTGGCAAGTTGACCTTCTCATTTCTGACGTAGCCCTCAAAACACATCGCCAAGCTAGAGAGCCGTCTCCTCACTATCCTCTGTAGAGGACTCTAGTTCGATTGCCAGTACCCACATGATGGCTCACAACCATCGCTAGCTCCAGTTCTCCAGTGGATCTTATGCCTTCTTATCTCTGTGGCTTCCAAGCCTGCACATGGTGCACAGATATATATGCAGGCAAAACACTAACACACATAAAATTAAATTAAATTAAAATTAATTTAAAAAAAACCATATAACCACAGAGTACAGCAAAACAAGAAATAAGCTAATTTAATAACTTTGAGCCTCTTATTACCAATATGTGTATTTTCGATAAAGTCATCAAATGTGTGATATGTGCTAATACAATTTTCAATACCAACTCTAGCAACTAATTGCAGATACTTATGTTTATTATCTTCGTTTCTTATTTATGCAGAACTAAACCTATCAACTAAGCCACAGAACTAATCTTTACTTTTAAGACTCCAAATATATTCATGATTCCATCCCAAAAGATGAAGTAGAAATGTAGTGCTGTAACTCCTAATTCAGCTCAATGCCACATGAATTCACTGGGCAAACTTTGTGCCTCTCTAACATTATAATGCTCTGGGTATCAGAACAAATGCTTTTCCCATCCCAGGCCCACTCACACAAGAAAGAAGATAGGCTTTTGTAGGTTGCAAGTCCTGGTCTGGTTTATTTATAAAGCAATAAATATTTGAAGCACAAACAAACTGCATGTGTGTAAACAAACTGTACAATGACTGATGAGAGATGGGGGAGGGGGCTCAGAGGATTCCAAGAAGCACAATACCGTCATCCTGAATATAAGGTAGACTAAGAGAGAGACACCTCAGAAGCACTTGCGATGGACAATGGATGGGCCTGCCTCATCATACTCTTGCTTGCTGATCCACATTTGTTGGAAGGTGGACAGAGAGGCCAGGATGGAGCCCCCAATCCAGACAGAGTATTTACGTTCAGGGGGGGCAATAATCTGCAGAAAGAAAAAAAAACCATCAATGTGTTCTGAAGTTCTCAGCAATGGAGTGGGCAATAGGTTTGCAGTATTCATGGACAAAGGTATCAGGGATTAACTGACGATAAATAATGTAGGAGATGCTAGAGCATAAAGCAGTGTAGCCAGTCGAGTTTGGCAAACTTTCCTGCATTTCATCATTTCTCCATTTCTTTGTACTAGAGAATAACATGGTAAAAATCTAAATGCACGAAATGCTCAAAATGCTCAAAATCTGGGGCCTTTTAAAATGTGTAGATAGGTTTAGTTATTGCTTTCTGTTCCCCTTTGTGTTTCGAGTATTTACATGTATTCACATTTAGAAGCAGTCCTAAGGGTAAAGAAAAAAAAATCAGGAATAATGCTAGCACTAAATAGAAATCTTCACAGAAGATAGAAAGCTAAGACACGGGAGAAAGAGGTTGGGAAGGAAGCTTGCCTTAGAACACCAAGATCTGC